TTGTAATTTTGTGTATATTCAATTTAAGTAAAAACTACTGGGCCGGTTTTTAAAATTCTTTCACAGTTAGAAAGGTAATTTATCTATGAGTAACGAAAGCCGTGTTTTTATTTTTTTTTTAATTTTACGCAGACAAAGTCGTGAGTAACAGCTATTATTTATAAAGTGATGATTTTAATGGTCGATAGTTAATTAATTTAGTCAAGACGTAGTGCACTATCACTTGACCTATTGGTTGAATTTTTATCAGCCAGAAACCTATTATGCTAACGTTATAAGATTAAATTTTATAAATACAAATTCGGTTATTTGATAATGACTTTCGACCCCGTGGAATTAAAGACAAGTAAGTAGCTTATGTGTTCTTCGAAAATATGCTCTACATACACGCCAAATTTCATCGAGATCCGTGCAGCAGTTTAGACTACAAACTCTAACAAACATTCATCAATCCCAACTTTCGCATTTATAATTTTGGTAAGATAAGATAAATATGAATTGTTTGTATTTAAAATCTACGGGAAAAAGCGATACAAATAATTATTTTAAAAAATAGATTTCACTACAATACAGAGTACAGAATACAATCTCATTATTTACAAGTCATTTTTCTTGTATAAACAAAGGATACGGAAGATTGACGAAAACAATAACATAATAACACAGAATGTCTATTTTTCCTTCACTTGTATACTCAAAGGCAGATGTAGTTGGCGTTGAGTGATAGCCCAACTTGATTAAGTAAGATTAGTTATTGATATGCTATCCCCTTCATAATATTTGTTCTAACTTGGTAATTTTACCGTGAACTTATACTCACTTCACATTACGATGTACTAAAAAAAATATTAAATTGTTTTGATTAGTGAATTTAAGTTTATTAGTTACCAAAGTTCTTTAACACATTTGTATATATTTAGACTAAATATATTTAGACCAAAAAACTAAGTATAAGTGTACAAGATACGACTGAAATGAACTAGAAAATGCAACGACCTATTAAGACGTATAAAATGTGTAACTAGTTCATGGCCATGTCTTATGAAGATCTTTGATACTAGACCAAAATGCTAAGCAAGAAACTGCTATAAAAATAAGGATTTTCAACACAGTCATATTTAAAAACGAATAACAATGCTCATTAGATATACTACGCTCAGATTTCCAAAAGAATTGTATATATGTATTTTTGCACTAACGTTAAAAAGATAAATATGGGTCAGCTTGCTAATAAATTATATAGCTAGATCTAAAGTATATAACAACTAGCTGTTACCGTGCGGCTTCATCCGCAATAAATTATGAAAATTTTACTTTGTTGTTTACATTTGTCAAATTATCAATAACAAATGTCAAAATGACGTGACATGACAACCTAGGAAATCTTGCTTCCTTGCTGTTGGTAGCAACTTATGGACTCTTTCCCAGATTAGGATTTTTATCCAAAATATAATTATATCCAAAAAACAGTGGTAGTGCCCGCTTTAACATCTTAGCATGAATAGGCCGGCACGCCCGGTGTAATACCACGACCACACAGAAGACAGGCGTGAAATGGAAGCAATTCCGTATTTCGTCTGATGAGTGTGGTGCCGGAGGCCTAATTTAAGTCCCTTACTCTCTATCACCCTTTTCTTAAAGGAGAGGATTGGAACGGGATTTGACGGTGGAGGAGATGCATCGTAGGGGAAATATCCTCTTTATGTGCGTCTCCTCCTCCGTCGGGTAAGGGTAGGCAACGCATCTGCAATTGCGGATGTCTATGGGCAGCAGTCGCTTCGCCATTTTGGCGGATTGAGGTGGCCGCTTGCTCGTTTGCCACCTTATGTTATAAAAAAAAAATATTTACCCCCAAAGTTTATTGGCGTGAAAATATATAGCCTAAAGCGTGACGTAAGTGTAGGGCCTTGTATTAAAAAAATAATTATTCAAAAATATGCTGTATTTCCTGACATCTTAGGCAACAAAGAAGTGTGTGTTTACGCTTTATTATAATAGTATAGAAATATGGAAAAAGATTTTTAACAATACCAGGGTCGTTATTAAATCCAGTCCGCCCTTAGGCGGATACCACGTCCCTTGAAGTTGTAACTCTTTTACAATTTTCTTCAAAGAAAGAAATTAACTTAAACACAAAAGGGTATTCTTGTTTATTATAATTTTGTTATGTCCAGACAAAGCCTAGCAATTAAAATACGTTTCAAGTACAGATATGATTATCAAAACACAAGTATTATATTTTGTATTACTTTAATATATCGCTTAAAACCAATTTGTATAGCAATATGTTTGTTAAACTTTTTTATTAAATACATTTTTTCTATATCCTAAGGTTGGCACTCGTTTTAAATTCGTTTGTGTCTTTCTGTACTTACTCAATTCCCATCAGAAGTTAAACACCTTTGTTTAAGTAAGCAGTTTTAAGCTATTGACTGTTAGCATAGAAAAATGGTTTAATTAAAAAAATGAAGTAAATAAATGTACATTGTTACAACGTGCGTAAAATTAATATCGTCATAAGTACAGCCCATAGAGTGGCAAATTAAATTAACACCCACAGTAGCAAAACAGCGGTCGAAATGGTCAGTGGCACGCGAAATAGCGTATTAACCTATTTAACACTAATACACCTTTTAATTACTATTACCTTGATTTTTTTCAAGAACACGTTTCGGAATTAAGCTTTGCGGGATTCGGTTACATGAAATTTCGGTTATAAATGAAATTTGTAATTTATTATTATCTTAATTGAATATAGTAACTTAATAGCATTTTACTTATTGACAGCATACATCGCTTTAAGCACAAGTTTCCAAATCATTTAACTCTACAAGGTAGATAAGGGTAATTAATGCTAACCACATTTCACTGAACTTATTACGTCCCAAATGTATTTATTTACTCGAGTCAGTTAACGTCCAAATGTGACGTGGGGGCCTTCAAAATGCGTGTGAATAACTATACCATCTTTCGACTGCATCGTCACTTCCTTTAGGTGGGATCGTGGTCAAGCGCTAGCTTAACAAATATAAAAAAACGACATATGGAAATGATTAATGATCGCTGATTACTGACACTTATTACCAACCCATTTCATTAAAAAATGGTAGTGTAAAATAGGAGAAAAAAGAAATTCATATTTCGAAACTTGCGAAAAATAAAACAGCAAGTAAAGGTCAATTGCAAAAGCACAACAACTCATTTAAAAAAAGAGCCGGAACGGGTTAATTAAGTGAAGCCGCAGGGTGTGAAATTGTACGCGTTTGTGAAACCGTACGGTCGCTGTGAAAAGTGAAAGCTTTGTCACCTGCAACACGCCACGGCTAATTAGTGCCGTATCCAGGTCATTTGCTACAGGTTTTTTCACGTTTGATATATTTACAAGAAAATCTTGGTCCCGCAAACGAAAAGCATTAAAAGTATTCTTACATTTTCGAGATCTGATATCGTGTTTTAGGAATCATGTCAATAAACTTTAAAATATTAGCTATCAGCCTCTTTTCGTCTAGATAGCAAGGATTATATTACTGTTAAGTTTTCTATAATTCCATTCCCTAGCTTATATGTTTTTTAGAATACTGCACCTTTCCTTTCCTTTTGTTTTACAACAATATTATACTTTTGTTTTTTAACCGACTTCGAAAAGAGGTTATCAATTCGTCTGTATATTTTTAGTACTAAAATTTTTGGATAGTAATATCCACATGTTTTATTTATAAAATAACTAATAAATGCAAAACAGTGAAGCGGTTGCTAAAGTATGAATAATTAAGTTATTTTCAAGAGGCCAGAATGAAATCAACCGCTCGTTCAGCAAGAAATTAAACTTAAATCGACTTTGGGATCGTTGTTTTATCTGGAACGGAGTTCTATAAAGTTTTACTTTGAACTGGCTTTGAGAAACTGTGCATTTTATTTTCAATTTGATATGAAACTTTGCATTAATTAAATGAAGATTAAGCGATCCGGAATATTTCATTGTAACTTGTAAACATTACCGGTTTTGACTTCCGACATGATTTTTTAAAAAAACTTTACTTACAAACTTATTAATAAAAACTACATCTCGTCTTTAATGTGGCAATAAGCAGGCTTTCTAGGAATACAAAAAGATTGAACTGCTACAACAACCTACTACGAATTAATTTTATCTTTAAAAACATTTTCACAAAATAGTTTTGAACGGGTCGTGTAAAAATAATGAACGACTCCAATAACAAACTTCGATAAGTATTCTGATTATAATAGATTTATCACTCACTTAACGTTTACATCCAACCAAATCGCTTCAAAATAGCATTTTCTGTTCACATGTTCATTTTAACTGAGTGTGAATATTGGAAGCGTTTTCATAACGCTGCAAATCAGTGACAGGCACAAAAGGACGCAGAAGTTGTTAAATTGCATTTACCTTCACGATTCCTGGCGACAGCTCGCGACGGCACCAAATAAACATATGTTAAACTTTTACCAATACAATGAAACAATTGGTATCCATAAAGCTAGGAAAGATAATAAAACTAGTGTTCAAAAGTGCAGATCTTCTTGAGTTTTTTAGTGTTAAGCAATTTTTTAAAGTAATAAAACCCATTTAATTGTCAACATCTATATTTATTTCTAATATATTCAAAATTTTTACAACTACTCAAATATTTACAAATGTATAGACATCTTCAGTTAAACTCTATAAATTCAAGAATCGGAATCGCACTAGAAGAAGGCAATATAAAACCAGTTTTCACACATAATAAGTTTACAAATTAATTGAATTAAATACAAACAAGAAATACACAGTTTATACGTAAGTAATCAGTCTTTTACAAGTTTATTTTCCTTCAAGAGTTTTCATTTTTAGCCTTCATTTGCTAAAACATTAAAATATAGGAAACGTATTGAATGCCGTTGCTTTAAAGGTATTTAATCTGTTTGTAGTAATAAGTAATTACATAAATATTAATAAAACTATTAAATATGTAACATTCATTTGGAAGTTTCTTTCGTACTTTATTTATTTACAATATTATTTTGGAATTTAAATAAAAGTTAAATTTCTATTTGACCCATTACTATCGGATATGTCCAGAATTTTTGTACACTATGGTATTGAAATCTTCGTTTTCAACTCCTATAATTTACTTACAAGTTTGTCCTTATTATAGCACTAAATAAAACTACCGACCGCTCAGCCAAAGTAATGTCAGCAAACCAAACAGCCAAAGATGTATGAAACTCGGAACTGAAACAAGAAACATAAATTAAGATAATCTTAATAGAAGATAAATGATAACATCTTAATATATAAGCGAAAAGCGACAAAAATGCTAAAAACCCTAAATACGGAAAATCAGAGCATTTACATCTACCATTAAAGCGTATATATTTATAATATTATATTTTATACGGCTGAGATACGAATTTAAAACTCGCAATTTCCTTAATAACCCCCTATTATTGTTGGTTTACATTTTGAACAAGGTAAAACCTTATTTAGAGATTGTTCTGCGATATCATTGAAATTCACACCAATTTCACGTTTATAATATATTCTTACTATATTCTTACGCTGTCGATGATAATGATCTAATAAGTTACTAAAAGGCAACACTAACATTACACTGCAAAAGACTATCCAAATGTCATCTACATTACTCGAGTTTATTTAATTGTTGTTATAGTTATTAGGAAAAATATGATAAACAGTCTCACCTGTGCTTCTATTACGTACTCCGAGGACTGAAGCAACTTCAGGTTGCTCCATATCAAATATTAATTCTGTACGTGCTGCGTACAGATTGTATATATTAGCGATACAGGTAAGCCTGAGGCTGCCACGTTCGAACGCTTCTGTACGTACGACGAACGATACCGCACCGACCGTTGGGGTTCTATTATCTGGCCCCGTCCTCTCAAATATTGGCTTCAAACTTTCCTTTGCAGGACGCCTTATCTCTTCCTTATGTAGATTTATGTACGTCTCATCTAAGTATTGCAAGTTCTCTTCGTCGTGAAAAACGTTGAAATTCATTTCATCGTCAGAGCGCTCTGTTGTTGTCGATTCGGATTTTAACGGTGGATCCCATTTGAACCATGGTGGCAACTCGTGTGTTATAGATTCGATGTCAATCTGTAACAAATGGTTTTTGCACTATTCATAAAAATCTTGCTAGACGCACAGTTTTTTGGTCCGTATTTTTTAATTTCTAATTGATTTTTTTATTTTTTCTTGTTTTATTTAAGCAGTAGTAAATTGTAATGTTTGTAAAAGTATTGCTTACCTCCTCTCCGTTAAGTGCAAAGGTGAGATTTACAGAGGGATAAGACGGCGGGGAGGCGCACGTAGCTCGCAGATTTGATCCGACGCCGTACCACGACCGGTCGGAGACTAGTTTCGGTCCCCATTCCGGAGGTTCTAAAATTTAAGTTCAGAACGTTGCTAAAATCGGAACGATGTAATATTTTTCTAAAATTCTATATTTTGTATCTACTGTAACACCAGCTATTCAGATATTATAATTTAAGTAGAGTTGCAGACGACTGTAATTACAGAGTTTGGGATTAATCAAATATCCTGGTACTGAAAAGGACGAAACGGAAGCAAAGCGTATCTTTTGACTATTGCGCATATCAAAGGTTTAGTAGCTTTTTAACGTTATCTGCTAATTGCGACTAACAATAGTTTGCGTCTATTTTCTTTTGCTACCGCACTCAGACGCACTTAATGGTTATTAAAACAGCTGCTTAGTGGAGATTTCTTACAGCGATAAAAATAAGGGACTCTTTCCATGATCCCGTATCGACTCTAAGTGCAGCAATTATAGATACATCGAAGTATTCTATTACCAACAACTTCTAAGGGAGCGGAGCGTATCTCCGTGTGGAAGGTGGGTGCGTCCGCGGACACCTCACAGCGAAAGCGGCCCGCCATCGCTGGCGTCGCTTGCTGCAACACCACACGCCGTGCGCCCGACCGGGATATCTGCACAAATAAGGCCCGTATAAGCACAATTTTTAACATTGACTTAGATAACACCAATTTAATATCAATGGTGATGCAAGAATACGTAACATCGTATGACAAATTCTATAAACATTCGTACCTTTATGCATTCCATGTAAGTAAACAAATTTGTCAAAAGGAATTTGTATTTTTAATGGAATTTAATGTGAATGTTATTCACTATACTGTGCTTACATTTCAAATCAACAATAGTAGTTAATAATAAAAATGCCAGGCAAGGAAATTTGTAAAAGTATACACGTATTGTACTCGTATATTGTACAGTTAAATGTTAAGCCTTGTACAGTACGCTTTACATTTAACTATTATAGCACAGTATTAGATCCACTCCACTACACAACGTTTCAAGGTGTTAACGGAATCTGAGCCGGTATAATAAACGCATTAATATCTGCTTACAAAACCACTCGGGCTTCCGACTATGATTATTAATTAATACGATCGTTTTGAAGAGATTGTAGAATTGTTACAACTCAATAAACGTGCTATAATACTAAAATTTAAAGTAATTTGATTGGAAATTCTAAAAATAAACACCCCGATTAAATCATAAATCAAGAACTCTTGTTAAATTAATCGTTAATCAAATGTCAGCATTAATTAATTCTAATTATAATTGTACCGATGAATTTATGTTTAGTTTCAATGTTCATTTACGCCAATTATTGTTTTATTGATTTTAATAATCGTATTATGTTGAAAACATTTTTATTTATTTACAATTTACGAGATCAGCGGTTAAACAAATTCAGTAATAACATGGACACATTCTAAGTAATACAGTCTGACAAATAAAAAAAGGTTTTCGATGAAGGACATATAAATTGTCCAATTTTCGCTTGGGACCGACTGATAGACTATTCTGTAATGCTTTATTCAGAAAAAAGGTCTTGTATCCGGTTTTCTATACATCAATATTAAGATTTTGATTTACGAATGATTACTGATTCTGTTTGGTAATACTTACGTCAACTTCGATTCCTGGTAATGGGAATACTCTTGTGTGTGGTAATTCTTTGGGAATGTATCTGTAAAATTCTTCTTTCCCTCGATACCATTTAACGCTGTACAATGCTTCTTCATCTTCTAATTGCCAGCTGCATTCGAGTGTTACAGTTTCATCTAGAAGAACTGCGCTAGGCACATTGATTTCTAAATTGTGAAGTCCTCCAACACCTGTATAGGAAAAACGATTAGAAAAAATAAATTGTTACACTTATTTAGTGTACAACAAGGATTCGTTTTAATTATATTTCTTTCGTTCATGATTCCTACAATCTGTATATGAAAATAGAAACATTTAGACGAGACGTATTAAGAAAATGATAAGATATTAGTCATATCATTTATCGTTTGTATGTAAGTTTTCTGTTTATATTCTAAACTAGCTGTTCCCGTGCGACTTCATCCCCATAAAATAATGATTTTATTTTATTGTTTACATTTATCAAATTATCAATTGTAAATGTTAAATTACATGACATGATGACAAACTATGGCAACCTTGCTTCCTTGATTTTGGCAGCTTGTAGTTTATGGTCCCTTTCTCAAATTAAGGTTTTTTTCTAATTTGTTTATCCCCCGAGTTTAATTATTAGAGAAGGCATTTTTCAAAAATATGCTGTGATTGCTGACATCCTACGCCACAAAGTAGTGTGTGTTTACGCTTTCTTATATTAGTATAGAAGTATAGATATGCATTTAACCAACCGTTACACATTTCCATATTCATTTTGTAATCACTTTAATGAGATTCGATTCGATATTATAAAACTAATACGATTATGACGGTTCAACCTAAAAATGCTAATGGTTGGTCGAGGATACTAACATTTCTACTATTTTTTTTTATATTGTTTTCTGTTGTAATATGTAATCTAGTCTTCTTGAGCTTATGAAAACAATCTCAAGTTACTTTTACTTTGTGATTTTTATAAAATGTATACCTATGTTAACCTCTACTTTCTGATAAATCTTTCATTTAATATAGATACTTAATAATATACTTTTTATTTGGTATTAAAATATTTATAAATGTAATTTCTTTTCGTTATGAATTTCATTATAAATTTCACCGTTTGCCATTATCATCGCATTAAGGGGAAAAACGGCGAAATAGCTGATTTAAAATTCATTGTTGAAATGTAACAGAGCGGTATACCGGGATATTACTTTTGTAATGGTATGGCTGTTACGACGCACGGAAAAAATTAAATTAAAAAAATATATTGAAAGGAAGTTGCTAATTTCATAAACAAAATGACGATTATACGAACTTAAAAGAACAACGAGTCAGAAGATTCTAGAAAATGTGAACAATATACATCACGAATAGTAAGAATTTTGATACACTTAAAAAAAATCATGTCATTACTTCTTACACTGGTGATGAGAAGTCGGAGGTGATATTAACACAGCCTGACTTAAAGAAAAGCCAAAAAAAAGGTTAAATCATCCATGTTTCATTTAAATTGATATAAAAGGTGAGGCCTAATCTAAAACGGGTGTTGTGTAATAGAATAAAAACTTACCTACGCTCCAGCAAATTGCGGCAAAAATAGCCACAAGGATGCGGCTTCCCGCGGCAGGGATCACCTCCATGCCACTCGATACTGCTATAAGCTTTGTATGCGATACACTCACTGTCCAAATTACCTTCACACTTAGTCCCTTATCAATACAACTGTACGACACAAGTGTAATTAGTTCGCCACTTTAACGCACTCATGTTTTTGCAGTCTAATGCAATGTTGTACTAGAAATAAGAATAGTTTTTAGGTTATAAAAATTGATTGTGTTAATCAAATTATGAAATAAAATAAAATGTAAAATATACAACTGTTTATAACTGAAAACTGTAAAGTGTTGCTATTATATGGGTGTCAAGTTCACCAACGTTATAATAGAAAAATAAAGGATTTATATAAATGTATTACGTTGATAAGTTTTGTTGTGTCCTGAGTTTATTCCTTATAATAATATGAGGAGTAACAATGGAAAAACATTAAATACAGTGTAAAGTTTAGCGACAAATGTTACGTTACACGAAGAGCAACAAAAGCTAGCGCACAATCTCAAAACCAACAATACCATACTATGTAGCAAACAATTCCATACAGTCAATCTCTGAATAGTGCTCTTTGTCTATTGTTTGCATAACATGTGCCAAACATCTTCACTCTTATCTTGTTATGTCGCGTTTATCTTTATGAAAATTACACTTCCAAAAGTGCAAAACTGCTAAAAATAGAATGTAAGCCTTGCCAGAAATTCTTGCAGCTACTTTTTATTTTGCAGTCTTACAAAAATACACATGCGTACGAAAGTCGGTTACGAGCACTCTTTACAGTTACCTTTTTCAATGAATCGCAAAGTTTCTATAAACTCCTTCCGAATATAACTCATTTCCGAAGGGCAACGATGATATTTCGTTTAATACGATAGTCTCTTTTCCTTCTACATTTTTAGTCACACTAACTATTAGAAATACAAAAGATAAAATACGACTGTTTGCACTTAACTCCAGAACTCTTTACTAGATCATAATAAAATGTGGACCATAGATAGATTACAGTTTGGAATAGGCAAAGTTCTTGTTTCAATTAATATTTCACGCTAGCGACAGACAGTGTATTTTATTTAAATACATATTAAAATAAAGAGACAACCTCTCATCATGAAGAGAATAACAAATAATGTAGTAATCCATGTCGTTCCAAAGGGATTACAAGCTATCTACATCTCCGGCGTGAATACACAATTGTCTTACCGCAACTACGACACTGGCAGCTTATAAGAAAGGTTACATTATTATTTTATATCTCTAAAAAAAATAGGATTTCAATGTTTAAACTGCTATTATTAATTCACATTATTTTATTATTATATTACTATTTAAAGTTATATTATATTAGGCAATATTAGTTTGTAGCCTGTAGTTTTATTGCTAAAGGTATAATCTATGGACTCGAACACGTAGGCTGATTAAAAAATAATAAATTAATAATTCGATGCAATCGATTGCTTTTCAAGTAATTGTATTTTCTGTTGACAGCTCTATCTAATAAAGTTACAAACAGCAATATGGTGAAAAGCTAGAGATGGTCGTTTGAAATTAATTACTTTTTACCGGATGTAAAATGATTATTTCGTCATCAAACGAGATTCAAATGGAAACAATATCTTCCAAGAAAGTGTAGACATATTTAGAGAATTTAGCGAAATGTCCCATTTTATTTATTGTAAATTTTCAAATAGTTAAAGGATTATTTGAACCTTTACATATCCTTAAGTTGTGTAGTTAATTGACGGATGATTTAAGTTGCTGGGATTCTTACAAACGGTGTAAACATTTTCGTAAAGCGTTGGCACAAGTAGTAAAAGGTGTTGCACGGGATGTGCTAAGAGAAACAGGCTGGCGCATCATCTCGTTACAGATATAGGACGCGGTGCGAGGCGCTCGGCGAAATGTGTTCCATTGCTCTTTGTGTTGCCTTCTTTTGTTTGCTGATACATTTACAAAACTACCTGTATTTTTACCTTGTAATAGTTATTCCGTTATCAGGAATGTAACAATTTTTGTTAAGATTTATTGCTTATTTGTAAAAAAATAATGTTATTGTTTGTGCACTTTTTTTGTAATGCAAAACCTAAAATAAACTTGATTATATTTATTTATGACGAATTATTAATATAATCGACTGTCAATTATTATATTTTTGTGCCTTTCAATTTTCCTTTTAGAATATGGTGACAGTTTTTACTGAGATATACATTTAGACAGGGCAATATAATTTCTTACTTAAATTATAATTAAAATTGTTTAAAAGTATTGTACTTACATTTACAAACTTAAATCAAAATGTTTTTTTTACTACTTTGCTCCAATAAATTATCGCCTTATAAATTTAAAACAAAACTGAAATCTATAATTGCCTTCGAAAAAGGAACAAAACCTCAACTTTTCTAAAACAAACAAAACACTATCAGATTTTAAAATAAACTTTTTCCACACAATTACTACAGACCTTTATTTTTACATGTAAAAGATGTTTAAGGAATAATTAAATATACATTTAAAAGAAAAGAAAAGTTTCGTGTGACCGGGTTTTCAGGTAAATAACGTATGTATGGGTTATGTCGCGACGCGCGGTACGTAAGGCGTTTTCGGCCGCCCCCGCCGTACTGGATGAAAGCTCCCGCGTTCCCTCCGCCCGCCCCTCTCTAACCGTACTTAAATCCCCCTAGCTTTGATAATAACAATGCTTTATTTTACTGATAATCACTCACGACATTAACGTATTTATGTCGTGTACTTACAATTTACGTCAATATCAAATTAACATCATGAAGTATCGAAAATTTGCATAATCTGTATGTGAATCTTCAAGTTATGTGTATACTTACTTTCTTATACATATAATCAATCAATCTTATTTGTTTTTAATTATTTTATTATAAATTTACTAAATTACAAGTCCCCTTAAAAGTGTATGTATAATTTTCTTATCAATTTTACATTAATTAGTAACACGCAATACTCGAAATTTAAAGTCGGTAATAACCGAGTAGTATATGTACTGGCGGGGACGTGTTTTCAAATGCAGGATCTATTCTATGCAAATATTATAAAGAGGATTTGTATTTTTGTATGTATTGAAATATCTCAAAAACTACTGCGCCGAAAAAAAAAATATTTCACTTCTTCAATTAAAAAGCTATGTTATCAGTGATTAACATCATCATCAGCCTTTATTTGCCCACTGTTGGGCATAGGCATTCCCCAATACCTTCCATAAATTGCGGTCCTCCGCCTTCCGCATCCAACGACTTCCCGCCGTGCATTAACATAACATTAACATAGGTTATGTTTTTTTTTAAAGTGAGTTAAAGCGGATGAAGTGGCGAGCAATAGCTAGTTAATCAAACCTTAGGTCTGCTGGTATATGAGACAATTTCTTAATCACGTTCCTAAGATTGCTTAAAACTTTGTACCACTATTACTAGTTGAATCGAAGCTTTCCTAGGCTGCGTGCCCGCACCGAACATTAATTACATCCAACTTAGTCTGATTAAACCTTGAGGAATTATCCGGATTGACAAAATTAACTTTTAACTTAGATTTATGTGATTCTGAGCGACAAAGATAATACTGTTTTAGAAAGCTGTTACGAATTAATGACCTTAGTATGTTTGATTTAATTATTTTATACTATCTAACTAATAATATTATAAAACTGTTATATCTCATAATTTTTAAAATACAACTTAAATTGAAATCTTTTTAAAAAAATCGATTGATTAAAAAACTCTAAAAATGTTTTAATGTCTAGAGTGCAATATTTAACATCGAAACTGGCTATCGATACGATGTCGTTTAGAATCGAAAGTAGGTCAAATAAGCATTGCTTTGTCAAAACGTTTCTGAATCAAAATTAAAACAGAAAGTCAGCATTTAGTGTGATGGAAAACAAATAAAAATGATCGTGAAATTCAGATTGGAGTTTAGAAGTAAACATCTGGGGATAAACTTTTATTTATATAAACATGGATACGACGGAATGATAAATGATTATTTAAAATATATGAAAAAAAAATACATATTTATAAATGCCAGAGATACAAGATCCTGAAACATATACTAAAATGTTTTATTCACTGTAACTTCTTTTTTGCGCCGTCAAGGAAAAAAAAATACCAAATGTCGTGAAACTTTACCACCACATGAATAGCGTGAAATCCAAACCGGCAACGGCGCTGCGGCTAACCCTGCTTAATCTCTCTGATAATCCCTTCACCTACCACGATTCTGCCAACATAGCCCATGCCTATGTAATTGAAATCTATTGAAATTACTATACTGACGTCAACCGAATAAGCTTGATTCATAAAAATTTAATCTTTTGATTTAACATAATTTAATGTGAAATTATATTAATTTTGTCCCTAAAGCACACGAGGCGCGGGTCGTTGTACTTGAATACAAATGATATACAAACCAATAAAGCGTAATTTGGGATAGGAAATTATCAGCACGTGTTGCGATGAGATATCCTTCCGATGCGTGCAGCTTCCCTCTAATACAATTGCCCTAATCAAAGTGTGGACGCCGCTCTCAATCTTGTACCTTAATTAATGGATTTATCGTTCTATTAGTTTCTCCCCTTTCCGCGTTGTATATCACAGCTTTTAATTTATTGATTCATACAATCTGTACTACTCGAGGCATAAGTAGGGTGGTTTCCGTTGGGCCGATCGGTCTACCGATCAATTTACCGATTGGAATTGTTCCCATAAAATCGATTGATTGTATGGGTGCGCACGAACCAGTGGGAAAAATACCATTGGTTCGATCTATCGGTGTGCCGATCGACCTATCGGGAAACACCTCCTATCAGGAATAACCTCTGATTAATATTTCCATACAGTTACTGTAAAAAACTAAACAAAAAGATTGAACTGATCAGCTTTTGTGTTTAAGTAAATGTTCACGATTGACAAACAAAGCTCAATGTGAAAAAAGAAACCTTTCATTTTTCATGCAATGAAAAAAATTTTTGACACATGTTCACGTCATAATTCTAAAGATTGTTGGATCCTATTATTAAAAATTCATCAAAAGAGCTTAAAATATTTTTAGGAAGAGCTAATTGAGAAAGCATTAAACTTGTTTACGGTTTGGACGACGCGTGTGTTTATAATAAAGTGAAGATTGATGGCTCGTCCGCTGGCCGACGTGTACCGCTCGTTTACTGCATCCTCATT